TATATAGGGTCAGTTGGTGGTGGCGTGATTAACTTACAGCTTTGCAATTAATAGTGTTTTCTGAGCTGGTTGGTTTAGTTGCGGAGCTTTCGTCGTCCTTCTGGACAACATCTTCAGAGCAGTATTTAGCATAAAGTGAAATGATTTAAATTTCTTCATGAGTGATATAATTGCGTCTCCTGGTAACCATCTTTACATATGTATTGACTCCGCAACTAAACCAACCAGCTCAGAGAACACTACTAATTGCAAATCATCCACCTGAGCTACAAATCTTCGCTATTATTTCAACTTACAGCTTACATAACTCAACCTGAACTTTTCAAAATAATGTTTGTTTTTTGGAAAGTTGTCGTATAGAAACCTATACTCATAAATTTGTATTGTTTTAATTTCAAGTATCAGAAACATTCTTAAACAGTGTATCAGTTTTTTAGTCATGTTTGTGATTTACTATTGATATATTTGACTGCAATGGTCAGCTTCATCTTAGTATCTGAGCATCTTAAACACCTGCCTGTTTATGGTCAGGATAAAGAGTTTGAAGTTACCTGTCTAGTGGCTGCTAGAATTAGAATTCAGGACGTTTGTTTCGTCCCGTATATCAACAGTAATTCGCAAGTTAAGATAAATCAATCTTAAGTATTTCCTATAGTTGCTTTGTAAGGATTAGTTTTGTTTTTACGAGTTGATCATGGATTGATATCAGTTAGAGAACCATTGGAAACCAAGTAGTGGGTACTGGACAGCTGTTTCATCCTAGTTTGTAACCGGAAGGTCCTGGGTTTGAACCCCGTTGGTAGGTGCGTACTGCCGATGATTCCCAAACTAGCCTGATGGAACAGCTATCCAGTACTCCCTGGTTTTCAATGGTTCTCTAATTGATATCAATCCGTGATCAACCTGTAAAAATCTTAAGTATACCCAAATGCTCTTGTCCACGCCAGGTAAAATACTAAGTTGTGTCATCCTGGAGAGAATAAAGGATGCACTGGATGCAGAACTCTGCTCCAACCTGCAGAACAAGCTGGATTCAGGAAAAGCGAGTCATTTGCTGATCAAATGGCAACTCTTCGTATCGTCATCGAACAGAGCATAGAATGGCAGTCAAACCTGTATCTTAACTACATCGACTTCGAGAAAGCCTTCGAAAGCGCTAACCGAGAAGTAATTTGGAAACTACTTCAACACTACGGTGTGCAGTGCCCAAATCTTTTTCAACCTCATTCAACAGATATATGACAATATCTCATGCCAAATGATCCACAAAGAGGAACTCAGTGAGGCCTTTGTAGGGAAGACAGAAGTAAGACAAGGCTGCCTGCCTGCCTATTATCACCGATCATATTCCTAATTTTGGTGGATTGGATTGTGCGGCATACCGTGCTTGGGGAGCGAGAAGACAGGAATACTTTGGACTTCAGGAGACCTGAACTTCACAGATGATTGGGATCTAATTTCACACCAATTCAAAGATTTGCTGGCGAAAACCAACAAGTTCGCAGAAGAAGAAGAAGAAGCCAGTAGAGAGGGAACTTCCAGTGAACATAGAGAAGATGAAGGTGATGAAGATAACCAACCAACCAACAGCAAATGTCAATCACTATCAACGGAAGAAATTTGAAAGAGGTCACTTCCTTCACTCAACTACAGACAGAGACTGTGTCAAAGCCAGTCAGAATTGGAAAGGTGAAACAGACCTTCATCACTCTAAAATCAGTTTGGAAATTTTCTGCACTCAGAAAAAACAAGAAAATTCTCGTTTTTAACGCCAATATTAAAGTCAGTTGCTTCTATATATGGATCAGAAACCTGGCGCGTCACAAAAAGTATTTCCGGCAGCTAGCTGCAGAATTTTACCAACAGCTACCTTCGCTGGCTCAGTGCTGAATATCCGATGGGCGACCAGAAAGGATTATCAATAAGAAACTGTGGTAACGTACCAATCAAGAACCTACGGTTCAATAAATATGTAGAAGAAAATGGAGATGGATAAGATAGGCTCTGAGGAGACCAGTGGATGAAATCTGGTGCCAGGCCGTCTTTCGAGCAGAACCCGAATAGGAAATGACGAGTTTGGCGTGAGTGCAATGGTGACATGGAGGAGATCATGTGAGGCGGAGGAGGTGAGAGCTATTGGGCAATCGTGGGGCCAGTTACAGAGGACTACACAGAATAGGACAACGCGGAGATATGCTGTTAATGCGCTGTTTTCCACTCGGAACCCAAGGGAACAATAGTAATAAGTATCCCTACTGCACAAGAAGTGGCTCTCGTTACTCGGTGACCTGGTGTATAACACTTTGGTGTTTGAAGCGGTGAGTGTTGCACTCCAGTCTCATTGAGAAGAGCATCACTCACTAGGAAGCAAGTACATCTAGTTGACGAGTCCAAGGTTTGGTCCAGACGCTCGTCCTGAATTCTACTGCTAGCCGCCACTAAACAGTACTGTTATTAACTGTTTATTTCTCACCTTTAAATTCTGAATAACATGGAAGGAAATGTGTTCAAACTCGACATAATGCCTCAAATGAACATTTCCTGTTTACTGAGATTTTGAAATAATGATCTAACTACAACAAAAGTTCAAAACATGAGGTATTTCCTTCATTTCGTGAATTTGAACACAGAAATAAGAAAAAAAATCTTTTTCAGAATACTGAACTATAATTGTGGAATTTTAGATTTTGAAGATTCGAGCAGTTTGTCTACTTCTGTTAGCCACCAACCTTCATATATATTTGGTTCTTGATAAATTTGAACTTTACCAGAATGAACTGTAATTCAAGACGTGACGAACTGTAGAAATGGGAATAAGCATGTTCAGTTGATGCACTGTTTTATTCAAAAAGTCGGTGATCAAATTTAAATGACTATGATATTAGCTTAGTGAAATTATAGATTTTATCACATTTTTTTAGATGAATTTATTCTAAATCAGTCAACGAACAGATTTACTGACGTTCTTTCTTGAATAGCGTCAGTGGCGCTGAGGTAGGATGCTCTCCAGCCATTCACGTGATCTGGAGTACGGTGCCTGAACAATACTCTCCTAAAACTCGCTTATCTAATAATAAGCCAGGTAAAAAGGGAAGCTTGGACGTGAGACTAGTGACCCCACCTTGTAAAAATAAAACCACTACTACCTAAACTTCAAACCTGAAGCTTAGAGCCTTATGTTCCACCGGGAACGCAAAGGAATAAAATAATCTTTCTTGAACATATATCAAAATGTAAGAACATTGCACAACCATATTTAATTAAGTATTAGTTGATGTTTTATATTAATAATCCGGTCACTAGGCGATTCGGCTTCATGATGCGTCTTATAAAGTGTTTTTTTGATAAAGTTGTCTAGCCTGTCGTTAAAACATTTATGACCAAAAAAATTCAAAAAACGTGAGAACAGTGAACAATCAACATTTTTACCTTGAGCTACAAATCTTCTCTTTAATTACACAGTAATGTTTTGAGTAAACTTTTCAAAGTAGTTTAGTGACCTACTCACTTAAAGGATAACACTTTGCTTTCGAAACTACATCCGAATGGTTTGAATCCCAGTGGATGAGCAGTTCAAAATAGAAAGAAACGTGCGTCGTGAACTCTTCCACATGCTATCACCGAGCATATACCCTTAATTAGTAAGCTGAGAAGTGAAGTTTAAAGAGAACATGGGTTTGCTGACTACAGATTTTATAATCAACAGACTTATAGCTAAATGTAATCACTCAGCTTTCTTAGTTCTATTTTTAATTTTGATTATAGCTTGATTCCCCACCGTATTTTCGGTACAAGTATGGAATTTTCAGCATGTGATACCGGTAGCCCAAACTTCACAGGCCGAACCAAGATATCGGGTGTGCGTTGGCAGGAGATCGAACCCCGGACCATGTGCATGGTCGGCGAGAGTCCTAACCGATGTGCCACCGACGCACTTAGAATAGCACTTAGAATAATAAATATGTTTCGGGAAGTTTCTTGAAAATTGTACAAACTATAGTCAGTCATTGGACTCCAGATAGTAATCTCCAGAAATATATATTGTACAATTAATTTACTACAGCTATAAAGATAAGGTAATATTTTCATTCATTTTAAAAATGCACAACTTTGTTTTATACAGCTAATAATTAAATTCTAAACAGCGGCACTACATTTGAATATGTTAACCAGTTATCGTGTGTGTACAACAAACCCATAATTGTTCAATACTATTGAAACATTACTACTCTACAAAAAAATTTAATCGTCTAACTTTAAGATCTTCGAAATATTTAGATAACACTCAATTATTTCTGGGGATATAACAGCTAATTTGTGATAACAGTTCATTTAGGTTGTTAAAAGTTTCTCTTAATGTCAGCCATCAGTTTGAAATTCCTTAAGGGGAGTTAAAAACAATTTATCACCTTTTGAAATAATTAAGATTTTTAGCTTAAAATGAAGTTAGCTTTACATTCCTAAGTGTCCCGAGTGAGACATAGAGCTTCAAACCTGATCTTGGAATTCCAGCAGCAGTGTTGTTTTCATGGGATGGAGTTTCTAAATCCAAACCAACCCTTTCCTTTCTGCCCGGCTTACTGCCGGTTGGGCGAGACATGTCAGAGTGTATCGGCAGGGAGTCGAACCCAAACCAGCATTCTAACACTGAACCAAAGAACACAACAACACTAAAATCAGCTTAATGGTCTCGAATACTTCATTTACTGAAATAAGAATAAAATTCGTGCGTGGATAAACACTATCAAAGTTGATATAGTGAGACTGTAAAAGGTAACTTTAGGTCGGTCGGTACATTATTATTGGGGAATGAATGGAGGTGAAGTGAGAATCTAGTTTGCGGGTGGATTCATACTAGTCCACGTCTTGTAAGTCAACTGATAGACAGTCAGACTTGTAAGCTGTCCGAAGGCCACTAGTTTGAATCTCGCTGTGATTAAGACTTTCATTCCATCATCTTCAATCATCCTCATTATGTGTAGTTAACATTGGAAACTTACCATTTATCATCTCTTGTGATAATTCTTCATTCATCTACCATGTATAGATATTGTCGATTTATTCTCATTAATATCATTCAATCGAAATGTTGAAGATCTTAGCTTTTCAAATACAGAAATATCAGTTTTTGTAGCATATTGTAATAATGTATTTGTTGTATTTGTCATATCTAAATCAGGATTTTGAAAATGCATTAAATGATCAATTGAAAAGGGTTTATTCGACACTTCACTACGGTTTAATACTCCATCGTGATCAACATCAACATTGTTAGCAGTAGCATAATCTCCTACCAACTCCGCATCTCCTTCTTCTTCGTCTTCTTCGCCTTCATCCTGTTCTCGATTATTATTATTTTGTTTAAATTTCCGCTTATCACCACCATTGATACATTGAACAGGTAAATTGTCAATTCTTCTTTCAATTTCTTTACCTTCTTCAATACATTTCAATGACTTTTCATCATTCGAATCTATTAAATGTAAATAATTTTTATTCCATATATTTGAATCTAATACTTCTGATTGAAAGTTGTGTATTGGTTTAGCTAATGAATAGGCAGAATTTGTAAGCGCCGCGGTTGTTGACATTTGTGTTAGCGGTGAATGATGTGAAGGAAAGTTTCCAGGCATTGTGTTTATTGTGCTTGCTGATATTGACGGTGTCATGGGAATACATGATGAGGATGATGATGATGATGTCGATAGGGATAAACATGACAAGGATGGCGCCAAAAATGAAGATGAATTATAGGGGACATTTGAGCTGATAAGGGATATCTCATCAACTGGGATGTTATATTGATTTGTATTAATCGATAAATGTTGATAGCTGTTATCATATTGTTGTGGCGGTAATTTTGTCTCTGTTGTTATAATAGACGGTTGATTATTATTGTTATTGCTTAACTGTTGTCTAAAATTGTATGTTTGACTAAATGATGACATCACATCACAATTTTCAACTGTTGGTATAATATTCGCATTGTTAATACTACTAACAGCGTGATTAATAGTAGTATCATTATTGTTATGATTGTTGTTATTAAGTATACTCGAAATATGTGTACATTTAGATGAATTATTTGTTACGGCATATCGATGGGGATCATGCATGCCATTCTCGTGGAAATAGAATTCTGACATTAAATTCACTGGGGAATTTTGATGGGTTTGTTGTTGTATAGCGTGGTGATGGTGATGATGATATGTAGTTGATAAAGGTAGCGTGAGATTGGCGGGAACTGATGAAAAATACTGATGCGATGGATTCGTCATTTCATTTACACCAAGGGAATCTGTCAGTGCGCTGTTCCTTCCGTATAATCCTGCTGCTGTTGCTGTTGCTGCTGCTGCCGATGATGATGACGAAGACGATGACGATGCGGAGGAGGCGGAGGAGGACGAGGAGGGGGGACAGGAGTTGGAATTACACAAACTGAATGTATTCGCTGGCATACCGCTGATATAATTCACACTACTACTGCTAGTAGTAGTAGGATTAAGTTTCAGTGACTGGTCAAAATTACTTTTATCCGCATAAGCACCTATTTGTTGTTGTGTTTGTTGATTCTGTAGAAACAATGGAGATTGTTCTGGATAATTAGCGAAATGTCTAAATTGTTCGTAATTATTTTCTGGATAGATAATATCTGTAATATACTTGGTCGACTCACGACTATCATAAGGACTGAGTAAAAATAACTGAGACGATTTATACCTATTCGGGGATTTTTCATTGATAACTCCAGTTTTAAGGAGATTATCATGACGCATAAATGGGTAGGCTTTTAACTCAGGTGATGCTGAATTAGGATGCTGTTGTAGAGGATAATATTGTTGATGTGCCGGTAGTGAGCCTCTTTCTTGTTTTCGGTCATTGATAATCTCTTCACTCTCCTCGTTTAGTTCATCGTAATCCTCTTCCTCATCGTCGATATCACAATCACCTTCTTCGTTTTCATCATCGTCATCAGGAAAACCATCATCATCATCCTCAGCACCGTCTTCATTATCTGCATTCTCATCGTCAACATCATTATCATCATCATCATTGTAGTCATCATTGGCGTCATTCGATAGACCGATAGGAAACGATTTCGTTCTGTTATTTAAAAGAAGATCGTCTGTTTTAACATTTAACAGACCATTACATTCTGTTTTCGAATAGGTACGTTTCATACCAGATGGTAACAGCAAGTGTTCACCAGGTGGATGCGTTGAATTCGTTGGCATAACTTGATGACTACCATTATTATTATTATTAGGAGTATTTTTAATATTTAAAGTATTTACAGTTTCATTATTACCAGTAATCAATGAAGTCGATGTCAGTGTACTTACAAGACTACCACTAGTACTTGTCGTACTATTCCGTTGACTACGATGACTTACTTCACGTTTAGGATCTTTGAAACGTTTTTGTCGTCTTAAATAACAACCATTTTCAAACATATTTCCAGAATCTGGATGTAATGTCCAATAGGAGCCTTTACCTGGCTTATCTGGACTCCTAGACACTTTAACAAAACAATCATTAAATGACAGGGAATGTCTAATCGAGTTTTGCCATCTCTGTTGATGTTGACGATAATATGGAAATAAATCAATGATAAATTGATAAATTTCTGACAAGGTACACATACGTGTTGAAGAGTTTTGTATTGCCATAGTAATTAAACTGATATATGAGTATGGCGGTTTAGCATGACATGATTGTTTTGATGACTGACTATTTGAATTCTGTAGGAAATTTGAATGATTATTAATTTGTTGTAATTGTTGTTGATGTTGATATACCATAGCTGGGACAGGCAATGGGACAGATGAACCTTTTGATGTAGTCAACTGTCTAAAACTGATATCGCTTTGATTAGAGGAAAGAATTCGATGGTTTTGTTGTAATTGAGACTGTAATTGTTCATCCGAATGCTGATGATGGTGATGAGGTTGTTGATGGTGATGTGAAGGAGGTGGACCTGCAGGCGGTGGAGGCTGAGGCTGAGGAGGGAGCAATGACTGTGGAATAGGATGAGATGATGGTGAATGCAAGTACTGTGAAGGTATGGATGGATGATGGTGATGATGATGATTATATTGATTTAACTCTGAATCCACCTGTTCTACAGGCAACTGATGATTATGATGATGATGGTTATTTAAAAACTTCGTTGGACTGGTTTGTAGGAAGGCTAAATTTTCGTGAAATGACATTGTAGATTCATGACCTTGGAATGATTTATCACTGTTACTATTATTATTATTATTACTATTACTAGTTGTATTGTTCCCATACTGATGAAATATTCCACCGTCTGAAGTCAACTGGCTACTCATACTACTTAACTGATGATGATTAGTAGTAGTAGTAGTAGAGTATTGATCATCCTGTTGATTCCCCTTACTCAAATCATTGTGATCACCACTATTTAATGTCACTTTCGATGTGATTGTTGTTGATAAGGATAATGGTGATAGTGTTTGAATTAAACTAAGCGAAGGATTTTCAATGGATTGTAGGAAATCATTGGATCTGTCTAGTGTTGACTTCTGTGCCAACTGAATACCATCCTGTTGTTGGTATTGTTGACTTTGATGTTCATCATGACGTAGATGTGAAGGATGATGCTGAGGATTGCATAGATCATACTGTGAATTCACTTTAATAACTGGATCTCCATACTCTCCAAAATTAGACCATAATTCATTCATTGATGAATTATTATTATACCATAAAGGTGAAGAAGGTGTTGTATTATTCTGTGATCGTTTATCAAGATTTATAATATTACTTGAAAGTGTTGTTATTATTGTTGTTGGCGTCGTTGTCGATGATGATGTTGTCGTCGATAACACTGGTAATACTGAATTTGAACACCATGATGTAGTTTCATTTAAATTTAAGAAATTCATTGAATCTAAATGATAATTTGAATAATTAACTGGATGAATATCAGTGTCGGTTGTTGATTCCATTCTAAGATTATGATTATTCGAGTCTTTGATTAGTTCGTCAGTTGATTGATTACTGTTCAATGTACAATGGTTTACATTCATTTCTTTTTTTTAATGAATGATTGATCACTTTGTCCGGAAAATTTAAATTTAAGGTTATGGAAAATTCAAAATAATAGTGGCAAACATCGAATTCTGTATGCGTAGGATTTTTATCTGAACGATGCACTATTCATCTCTGATGTGGAAGTAGGAGCAAGAGTTCCTATGAGTCATATTATCATAATAATATGGGTGCTTGATTTAGAGTTAAGAATAAGTGACTTTAATTTTATACAATCGATTTAGTTAAATTGGATAGTCAGAAAACATGAGTCCCGTTTTAGTATAGAAGCTCTACACCTGAATTTTTGCCTACTAACCAAGTCAAGGAAACATTTCTCTCTCTCTGCCTGTGGCTAAAGCATATAAACACACCTACGCGTAAATACGCAAAACTTGAGCAAATTACTACTATTACTGCTAACGCGTTATCTGCCTTTTTTCTAACCACAAAATATTTTATTAAAAAGAAGAAAGATAATAGAGACAGTTGATTGGTTGTGTTGGGTAAATCAATCTAAGCGTTTGAGCCGGGTATTGTATTCACTATCACCACCACTGGCATACAAACAAAGCGCTTAGCTGCATTGTCGTTCACTACTCACTCACTCACTCACCTACCTAATCTTTCTCGCACACTATCAAAATCAGCAGCACATTGACAAAGAGAGAATTAATTATTCGCAAAAGCTAAAAACTCACTGCTCTACTTTAACTCTCACTCATGGTTGTTTAGTGATTTCTATTGGTTGTTGACACAGAAAATGTTTTTGTTAGCGATGTTCACTGAGTTCCTATTGGTCACTCAGTGTAAAATGAGGAGAAGAAGGCGAAGTGAGGCAGTAAAGTTGATAAAATAGGTATAAACAGAGCAAATGATTTTAGTTTTTGATTTTCTATTGTTGTCTTTAGTCATTGTTGAAAGAAAAGAAAAAAATTAGAAAATAAGATTCGAATGGATTTCGCCTCAAGGGATAACAGAATATATATTCAAGTTTTCTGAGTAGAGATGAAAAAAAAGCTGAGAAATAATTTGACTACTTTTTGATATCTTCTTAAAAATAGAGATTAATTGCAGTGATATTTAGCTTGTAGCTAATCTAAAAGTTAGTCAAGTGTTAACAAGTTTAGATGAGTAGACTGAAGATTGCGTAATCGACAAGTAACGCAGAGCCTATCTGTGTTTTGTCACAATAGTGTTTTTATTTTTGTAATTTTATTCCTTTACGTCCCCAGTGGAACATAGGGCTTCAAACTAGACGCTTTAAGTTTCGGTAGCAGTGGTGTGTTTATTTTTACGGGGTGGGATTTCCAGTCTCATGTCCAACCTTCCCACTTTACCAGTCTTATTACTGGATAGGCGAGGTAGAGGAGTGCGTTGGCTGTCGGGAATCGAACCCCGAACCAGCTGTGTGGTTGGCGAGCATTCTACCGCCGTGCCACCGGCGCTCTTTATAATACTAGTTGATACTGTTGACCATTGAGTGGGTGTGTGAGTTGGCGGTTCACTGGTAGAATGATCAGGGTTCGACTTCTAACTAACTGGAAGGTTGACTGTAAGTCTAGTGATCCAAACCGTAAAACAAAACACCAGCTCTGAAGAAAAACTACTGAAACGTCAAAGCTTGAAGTGTAATATTCCACTCGGAACTCAAAGAACACACTGCGGTCTGTTTAAAACTTGGGCTATCTCAAAATACTACATCGTTATATTTCACATAATTTCCCTTCTTCAGCTCGTCTTAGGCTATTAAAATATCGTCTCTAATGGTGTTTTCTACTCTCGTGAGTATTTAAAATGTCCACAACCCGCTGATTTACCAGTTTCAACTATATACGACGAAAAACAATGTGGCGGGTGGCAATGTATTCCAATACATAAGATAACTATTCCTGAGATTGATATAAGTATAAAACGATGTAATGCAACAGAAAGAAGAGGCGTTAGTATTGAATAACTATCCTATAAAGTTCATTAGGAATATCAAAAAGAGGTCAAAAGCAAAATAAAAATAATGGTGAAATTAATAATGATAACACAAATAAAAGAGAATACAAGTCATCTACTGTTATACCATATAAGGAGGGGACATCTGAGACCCTACGTAGGATTCTTGATAAAGCAGGAATTAGGGTGGCATTTAAACCTACACACTCAGTCAGAGACAAGACCTGTAGGCTAAAAGACCCGGTGGACCCAAATAGACAAAATAATATAATTTACAAAATACCTTGTAATGACTGTTAAGTCAACTACATAGGTCAAACTAATAGGTCGGGGCTGGTCGGATTGTCGGAACATACGAATTTAGCTAAGGTAAGAATGGTTGACCCCGAGAACATAAGTAATTTAGAAAAAAGCTTAGCAATTGCACTGTATGCATTAACACAACCACACAATAGAGAGGGTTAGGGTTAAAATTCTAAAAGTAATCTAGATAAGTGGAGAGAGAGGTTGATTGCTGAATGCCGCCTGGATCATCGAGTCTACACCCAGCACATGCATTGGGAATGCCTCATCACTCATACCGGAAATATGGAAAATACTACTACCAATCAAATCAAGCTATGGAAAATAATGGAATTATATAATCGAAGTTAGAAAGTTGTGTGAGTACCTTGATATGATTATGAGCAATAAATTGTGCTCTAAGCATGTGGTCATCAGTAAATATTGCAGTATAACACTGTGTGATTTATCAAAATAAAATCTTTTCTATAATGGTGTTCCTGAGAATTTTAGTACAAACTACCACTGCCTAAGAAATAAAACTAACTACCTACAGTCTTCCGGTATTATTATGTTCTTAGGTCAAAAAATCTAATCCTCAACCCTTTTTTAATTGGTTTTCCACAAAATGCGCATTTCTCGAAGGGGGCAAAGAAGAAATATCATAATAAGGGATTGTTTGGCGGCACTTTAGGTAAGATAGCAATGTGTCACGTGACTTACTGTCAGTTAGTATTTTAGTTAAAGCTCTTGGGTGAAAGAAACTGTTACTCAATATATATATATATGTATATATGTGAGATGTGCTATCATAAAAGATGTATTCATAGTCACACTTGTAATACTCTTAATTTCCTTGAAACGTCTTCATTAAATGTTGTGTTTGAGGAGATTTTGATAAAACAAGGATGTAACGACTGGGTATATGACAGTCATCGCCATAAGCACATCCCGTGTTAAGAGCACCAATGGTTTAGTCAACATTTCTTTAAGAAAAAACAGTCTTGAAAGACAAGAATACCAAAGAAAGCAACGTCTCTTCTGACGAATGAAAAGTTATGAAATAGATGTGAGCTCTAGTAAATATATATATGTATATTTCAACAGTTGGTTTGTAAGGATTAAATTTGTTTTTACGAGTTTGACGACGGATTGATGTCAGTTAGAGAACCACTGAAACCAGGTAATACTAAACAACTGTTTCATCGGCAGTGCGCACCCACTTGGGCTCGAACCCAGGACCTCCAGATTATATTTCAAGCTCGTATAGCATTCAGCCACTGGGACCCGATTCAATGACCCATGAATTCTAACATCCACCAATTTGTGATTTAGCGTGACCACCAAACAATGTCATCGGTGGGAAATCCATCCTCACTCCCGACTGAATGGACCTCAAAGGTCACGACTTCTCGCTAGAATTCCAAGAAACTCTGTCCTGAGACTGTTTCCCTGAAGAACTTCAATTCAGGTAGCTAAACAAAAATTTTAGATTATTTGTTTCAATATCTCGAAGATTCATAACAAAAGTGTTATATTTACATGTGTCTATTTTTCACTTGGTGTCTAATGTTTGTGGAGGAACTATTGGGCCAAATCTTCATCAGAATTCAGACAAAGCTTTAATCAGCTTCAAAAATAAGATATTTTACATGTCTCATTCTGGAAGATTAATTATATGTAATGCATCGCCGATGCAGACCTTTATCAACAACTGTCCTCGTTCTATACTGAAGATTTGATGGCCGGAAAGAATCACAAACAAGAAACTATGGGAACAAACAAAACAGGAACCAATCGCCCAACAAATATACAGGAGAAAGTGGAGATGGATTGGACACTCGTTGAGGAGGCCGCTGGGTGACATCGTGCGTCAGGCCATAGCTCGAGTGGAACCCGAAAGGGAAGCGGCGAATGGGACGTCCAAGGGTGACATGGAGGAGATCGTGTGATGAGGAACTGAAACAGTATGGATTCACATGGATGCAAGTGTAAAGCACAGCACAAGACAGAAGCAAGTGGAGGCGTGCAGCTGAAGCCCTATGTTCCACTAGGAACCCAAGGGAACAATAATAATATAATAATACATCGCTGACCATGCATGTAGTTCGGGGTTCGATCCCCGGCCGCCAACGCACTCCTCTACCTCGCCTAGCCAGTAATAAGGCTGGTAAAGAGAGAAGGTTGGGCATGAGGCTAGCAACCCCATCCTGTAAAAATAAACACACCACTGCCATCGAAACTTTAAGCGTCTAGCTTGAAGCCCTGCCTATGTTCCACTGGGAAAGTAAAGGAATAAGAAATGTATTTAGTGTATGTAATTGTGAATCAATAATTGTATAGCTGATTCTGGCAGTTAATTCTTCATCACTAAAAAAAATCAAAGAAACCAGTTTATGGTGTCAGACAAACTCCCCAGGTAATAGACCACATTCTGCCCAACACCTTCCCCTCTATCACTGAGACTGATTTATTTCTGACTAGTACTTCTTAAAGGGTAATTTCACTAATAACGAACTGTCGGATAAGACGAGAGCAGTGGAATTTTATTTTATTATAACAATATTATTGTTACTGCGATGGGTTCCGAGTGGAATACAAGGCTTCAACAGCACATCCCATTTCACTCTGTTCTATGTAGTAATTTGTAGCCAGCTGCATAATTATCCATAAGATTTTATTTCCTCCCCGGACTGCTTCCTTCGTATCACTCTCGAATATACACCCAACCTATCTGTCGTTTCTATCCGGGTTCCATCCAAAGACCTTTCTTGCATGTCCTTTTTATCCTCATTTCCCTGCGCATTTTTGCCGCCAGACAGGTTGATTTATTTCTAGAGATCTTCTTTGCTTATCCTTTCTAGCCGATCATCTGATCTTCAGCATTGAA